TGTGCTAAACTAGTTGTGCTGGAGAGAAATTGATGAGCTTGTAGGGAAGGAGGTATGTGCTCTTTGATTGGTTTTATCTCTAAATTACTATTGATATTCTTGAGGGAGAACTCCATCATATTGTGATGGTGCCATTTGGTATCTAGCCTCCCTAAATAAAGGAATTAGCTTTTAAGTTCCTCCATCCCATGCATACAACCCTCTAAAATAAAGCTTTGGAGAACTTGACATCCACATTTTGTTATTCTTTGATTGTTAGCCATTGAAAAAGTATGTTGGGAGCTCTCTAGTTCTCTCTCTATTCTTCCCCCTCCATCATGTGGATAATATGACTGTATTTATAGGCTTTTTGAACTAGGCATTTTGGTAATTTTAACCAGAATCCAAAATACTTCATCGTACGGTCCATCTTGATTCCCTTGATTTTGATATATTTTTTTTCATTATTTAAGTGTCATGGTGATGTCAGAATTGAGTGATCTTGGGCTTGTTGGATTTGTCTCATCGAGCCGCTCATTCAACTATAAACAGTTAAATTTTGGGTTTAGATGATCATGGTTTTAATTTTAAAAGTTTCCAATTCAAATATTTTCTTGAGATTCATGCATATCACATGATTTTTCTAGAGTCATATTAAGAAGGAACAATAACATGTATAAGATTCAAAATCTTCCCTGTCAAATTTCAGTTCAATAAGAGATTTTAGGTACAAAATTTTGAAATAATTTTAATTTTGATTGAAATTTTAAGATTTCAAAACCTTTCCTTCTAAATTTAAGTTTGATATGAGATTTAAGATTCTATATTTTTTTATTCTAAAAATTTTAAAATCTTATTTATGAAATTTGTACTTACTAAGAAGTTCTAAAATTTAACTAACCACTCAATTTAAAATTTAAGAATTCTATAATCATACCCACCAAAATATAGAATAAAAGAAGTTCATAAAATCTAGATGCTTGTAACCCTTGTCCAAAGAAGAAATGAAAAAGTTAGTCAATCAAGATAAGTTATTCTTTGCCTATGAAATATTTAAGCATACTATCGATGTATAAAAGTATAAGCCAATTTTAAATATGGAGAGTGGAACCCTCATAGGATTCATCAATAAAATTTATCAGGAAATTAAACTACGTATTTAAAAATTTTATCTTTGTAACAAAATATGATATACAAAATAACGTATCAACTTGAAAAATGCAAGCTCTTAATATTTATTACATCCCAAGAGAAGTTATCTCTTGAAAATACTCATGATTAAAGAAATGGAAAATATTTTTAAGATTCAAAACTTTTGACATAAAGATTTTTAAGAATTTTTATGGCATTTGTTAATAGCTCTTTGTAGGAGACCAAAGGATGAAAAATAAGGAGCTCTAAACATTGAGAAGATCTGAAACACTACAAATTATTTTATGATGGGCTTTAAAATTTTAAATATTTAAATTTATTATTTGAGTCATTCATTTTATTAGAAATTTAGGGCTTATATTTCACTTATACAAGAATTATAAAATCCCAAGGTGTGAGAACTTATGATGTATCAATGAGTTATTATTAGCCTTATATTCTAAAACTAAGGTGAGAATTAATATAGGAGACTTACAACTTTTAACCCCACCATGGGTTTAAGTTGCCCCAACTCTACTAGATGGACAATCATGTCTAGAATGGACAGCTAATTAAAGCAACCTAATCACTTTAAAAATGTGATGTCAAAGTTTTTATGAAATGCAAGATAGGCAAGGGTAATTTTACTTTGAAGAAGTAGAACTTACAATTTACCCTTTAAGGCTAAGCAGCACAACTATGAAGGTAGACAAATGCTTCTAGTTGATACATAATTTTATGTTTGATCCCAAAGGCATTCTAAAGCCTTGTAATTCTACCTCAACAATAGAGACTTGTGAATCATTATAACCTTCAATCAATATAGAAAAAGTGTTTCAATTGATCTTGACATCATGATTTTTTTCTACCCAAAATTTTGTATAAAAGAACTTATTATCATATGTGCTATGACTTATTCATTTGTATGCACTGCTTTCATGCAATGTTAAGTAGATAAATTATTATTATTATTATTAATATAACACTTCTAGCATAGTTGAGTGGTCCCAGAATTATATTTCTTAATTGTGTTGGATTCACTCATCCTTATTTTTATAGATGTTTTTTTTTTTTTTAATTAATGGACGTTTTTAGAAAGGAAACCTGAGATAAAGGAAGAATTATCTATGCGTAGTAAGGAGGGCATCCGGAGACCAATAAAAATGTGCCACGTCACCTCATTGGTCGGTACCCAGCTCAGTACCTAGTCGGTGTTACGGATCTATGGTTTATGATTTTGATGATAGCAAACATTCATTATTTCTCTATGATTGCCTTATGTGCTAACGTTTCAGGTCCACACGATCAGACTGCAATTTGGAACCAGCTCAAGATTGGGTAGACTAGGTCTGTGTTAATTTGTAATCTTTTTTCCTTTCTTGAGTCTGTTGTATTTGGTGTGGCATCTAATGGTTTGTAACTTGGAAGATTTTCTGTTGTGCCATAAAATATTTCTATTTTTTGTAACATCGTCCGGGATGATATTTATATCGTCCTGGACGATCTGACAAAAGTAGAAACCCTAATTAGGGCATCCTGATTAAAGCAGCCGTCATTATGCAAAACACATCGTCCTGGACGATTTTGTATCGGCCAGGACGATAGGCTCAATTCAGCAAGAATCTGCTGTCAGATCTATTTAGAAATAACCTATTTTTGGACATCGTCCAGAGGATCGTCTAGGACGATCCAGGTCAATTTTTCCAATATTTCTCTGGAATTTAAGGAAAGCAATTACATGGTCAAATCATCCGGGACGATTCCAAGATCGTCCGAGCCGATTAGACATCGTCAAGCTTCCATTTCAGGGCATATTTAGATGATTTTCCTCATATTTAACTAATTGGGGCAGGATGATATGCCTATCGTCTTGAACGATAATGTCAGCAAGCTTGCTTATGAGCTCATTTGGAGAGCTTCTATTTAAGCTATGGAATGTAACTTTGTAGTGTCTTTGGCAGCCAATGTACTTGTTCTGTGGGGAAAACTTAAGAGAGAGTGAAAAGGGAGAGAGAAAGGGTGGAGTTTGAGAGGGAGAGATCCCGTGAGGGGGAAACTCAAGGGAGTGTGGAGGGGATTCCACATGGTTGCTCGGTGAAACTCGCAACCTTAGACCATCGGATTCCAAGGCTTGTCTCGAGGTAAGTTCACCAAAGAAGAAAGATCTCCTTGGTGTCAAAGGACCCGGCGACTCCGCCGCACCGGGGAAGTGGAAGTTGATTTGTAAAGGGCTTCTCCGCCTAGCTGTGGGGGCTAAAGGAGAGACACTTGTTTTAGTGCAATACTTGGAGGGTGCCTCCAAGGAGTAGACGTAGGTCAAGTTTTGACCGAACCACTATAAATCCGGTGTGTTCTTTCTTTATTACTTCCGCACTTTAATTTTCGCATCGTTGATTTTCTATGTGGTGATATTGGTTTTAGTTTGAGTTTTGGTTTAAAGATTCTTCTTTTTGAATTCACTCCTCTCTTTGTTAGCCTTGGGCCAGTTCATAAGGGTTTAACATCCCTAAGCCTTGTTTTTTGTTCCTCTTCTCTTTTTGATAATGTCAAAGGGGGAGAACGTAATGTTAAATTTGTATCATTTTTTTGAATTTTCTTATTATCGCTTCCGCATTTATTTTTCTTTCGCACTTTGTTTGTGATGATTTTGGTTGGAGTTTTATATTGGGTTTTAAAGTTTTCCAATTCACCTTTCTCTTGGTTAGCTTGGGCCAGTTCTATAAGGCTTAATATTCCTAACGAACTTTCAGTCGGTACCCAGCTCAGTACCTGCACTAGATACCGCTGGGTAACCAGTGCTTAACCGGACGGTTCTCCCGTCCGGTGTCCGTACAGAATAAAAGCTCGAGGTAAAGTCATTTTTTATAATGCAATGCGTAACCAATATCATTTAATAGCGCCCAACATGAAAGGTTGGAGTATCCCATCACGTAAACAAAGTTTTTGATACATTTGCCAATTGTTTGCTTGACAATCAAAACACTTTCGAAGCAAATCAGTGGGTGATAAACATCTAAGAGGAAAACCGGCCGCCCATTGAATAGTTGAAAGGACCATTCCTAAACCAATTTCCCAAAATTAATCGGAAGTTCAAAAAGCCAAACCCCACTAATTAAGGAAAATTAGGTTAGTTGCATCTCAAAATATTTTCATTAAAAGTGCAAAATAATTATTTCTGTATAAGAAAATAATTTACATTTTATTTAGACATTAAATTTAATCTTTAAAAAAATGATTTAAATATTATCTTAAAGCATAAAAGGGATTCAAATCCTCTCTAATTACAAGGATGCAGTTACCGGTTAGCATCTAAATTATGCTGTTTGTTCTGAGAGATTAAAGATTTTTTTATAATCAGGGTAATTTTAAGATATTAAGATTGTTTTTAATCTCAATGATTAAAATAAGTTACTTAATATAATATAAGTACCTATTAATTAGACCGAATAATAAATCCAAAAAAAATAAAAAATCTTTTAGTTCTTAGAAAAAAGTATTTTAGTTTATATAAAGCTGCTTCATAGCTTTAATAAATATATTTACTATTTTTAGGAATAGAAAATATATAGATTTTTAAATATTCCTGAAAATAAAAAATTTACAACTCATCATTACATGATAAAAATAAACTGCCGAATTTCTCCAGTTATAAATGTTAATATTATCTTAAAGAGTTTTATGTCCCAAAAAAATATCTAAAAGAGTTGCCTTTCTTAAAAACAATCAACCCCAAAAATTTCCAAAAAAAAAAAAAAAAAGAAACAGAATAAATAATTAAAATAATATTATGCAAATTTTTTAATAAAATTTTCCTAAAATAAGTTTTTGTCATCGAAAAATCAATATCACTGTAAATTCTTTCCCACATCTTACTTATAAAATACCCGTTCTCTTTCCTCTTAGCAGCCGTTTCATCTCTCTCTCTCTCTCTCTCTGGGTGAAGTTATTTCTCCAATCATTACTTATGCTTCCAAACAGAAAAGTTTTAGGAGAGTCGCCGGCGGCACCTCCGTCATCGGAGTGGGGACCGTTCAGCGGAGCCGGTGACTTCGGAAAAAACATGGGTATCATCATCGCAGCCCTTCTTTTAGCCCTCGCACTCGGTTTCACCGCAGGAGCCCTAATCCGCCGCCATCTCCATCGCCGGAACCGGCGCCGGCATCCCGATGCATCTTTGGAGAAGCCGACTGCTGGGCATTTAGCGGTGCTGCCGCCGGAGAGCATCCCGGCGGTAGTGTTCTCCGCCGGAGAGGGTCTTCCCTCGGCGGGTCCGGCTGAGTGCGCTATCTGCCTCCTGGAGTTTACCGATGGCGACGCCGTTCGTATACTGCCTAACTGCGGCCATGGATTCCATGTCAGATGCATCGATGTGTGGATCTCATCCCGGCAATCATGCCCTACTTGCCGTAAAAGTTGCTTGCCGCAGCCGGAGAGGTTATCAACGGACGGGGTTTAGGGTTTTGAACGGTTGGGAAACGGCGAATGGGATGGGGGAAATGGGAGACGAAGGCATATAGGGTAGCTCTGTTGTTTTATTTTATTTTTTTTTTTCCTTGGGAATTTTGTAGATGATCTTACCTTATTGTCTTGGGGAAAGGATGAGTGCGGGTATGTTTGCTGGTGGTGTAAAAGCATGGGATTATTACTTGTGCCTATCATTTTTTTTTTTTTTGGGAGACGAAGGCATATAGGGTAGCTCTGTTGTTTTATTTTATTATTTTTTCCTTGGGAATATTGTAGATGATCTTACCTTATTGTCTTGGGGAAAGGATGAGTGCGGGTAGGTTTGCTGGTGGTGTAAAAGCATGGGATTATTACTTGTGCCTATCATTTTTTTTTTTTTTAGTTGTTTTTCATTCAGGATAACCCTGCAGGTGAGTCTAGATTTTATTTGATATCAATGTAATTATGTAGTAAGGTCAATGTTGTGAAAGTTGATTTTGACGTTGCGGATGCATAGATCCAAAGCTTGGATGCAAAGAGAAAGGATACCCCCTTTATGGGAACATCCTCCTTTTCAATTTGGAAATATCAAATTTGTCATCATTACCCTTTTCTCACTTACCCAAAGAGAAAAGATGGCCTTCCACTTAGAGGGAAGGCCCTCTTGTCCATTGGTAATCCACTACGAAGATTCCAAGGAGATGAAGAAAAGGAAAAGTCCAAAACAAAAAACAGATTGAAGCATTTGAAATTGAGAAGTATCCCACTCTAAATAACTTGCGCGTCATTTATTAGTCTTGAATCCGGTTGTTTCATGTAGTTGCTCTTGCATTTTACTTATTCATCAATATTATCTGTTTAAATAAGCAAGGCAATTCTGCCTATGACATAATAATTTAATTTTATTGATGTGATGATTTGATTGCCTTAAAATTAACTTGCTTTACTAGTTTCTTTATGGCGATTAGTATGCCGCTTTTGTTTTCGCCTGGATACGATAAGACTCTGAGGCGGTAAAGTTTATCATACTCATAACCTTAAAATCTAAAATTTTAGTGAGTCTAAATAAATTAGAAAATCAACGAATCTAGGGAATTAGCCAGGGATCGACCCAGGGTCGCTGCATGCATTATTTCTTAGCACTTCTTCTTTCCTTGTTTGTAGACCCTCCCCGCCTGCGGTAGAGTCCGATAGTCTGACCTATAAGAGGCGTACCTGAGGGAAAGATCTCAATCTTCTAAAAATTTACTTCTAAACCTGATTTTTAATTTCAAGCACACTTGATTTGAGGTTGTCAACCAAGCAATGCATGCATTAGATATAAACTTAAAGATTCTAAAATTTTAATTGGCATCAGTTTAGCATTTAGCACCCAACATAAGTTGAAGGAGGCCAATTAGAAAATCTCTAGATGTCGGCCCAACCTACCAAAACCTTAATTACAAGGTCCTTGGCGCTACCACCTTCATAACAAGACCAAGGGACCATTCTCTTTAAATCTGACTAGAGTGGTTAGTACTCCCAGATCCAGGCACGAGGTAAGTCCAGACCTGCGCTGACATTGTAGAAATCGACGAAACGTGTCTCGTGATCTATCAAAATAGATTAGAATCGGGGGCAAATCCTTGATGCATGAGGACCCCAAAATTCGAGAAATATAATCCAAATTTCTAATAAAAATGCTCAACTCTAATATAAGGAATATCATTTCAATCCAAAACATAAAGCCGCCGATACCTTAGAATATAAGTTAACCTTCCGAGGCTTCTCGAATTTTCTCAAAAGTGTCGCCCTACCTCTCTCTCTGATATCTAATAATAACTGCTCATCTATGATCCTATCCTTTTGATTTCCAATAATTCTATTCATGCCTTGATATACTCACCCCTTAGAAAACTAACAAATTTCATTCACTTCATCTAATCGAGTAGGGGGTTTCCATAGGACTTGTCCTCCCTACGATTAATAACTACTAGGGCTTGCTCCGAAGAGGTTTTGAACCCCACACACCTGATTTACAAATAATTTCTGAAAACTTCACTATAGTTCTTTGGAAAATTAAAGAATGATCGTCTCGTCGTTGCTACTAGAATGAATTATCGTATAGAATGGTGTCATTCCTTTGGGGGACGATACTACTCTTCGATAAGGCTTGGGGATGTGAAATGACGCATCATATTCTTGAATATTTGAATTGGCGTATTAGTTGAACCACTTGTGCCTTCGGGCCATAATGAAG